TGGTAGTGAAAATGGAAAAGAGGGAAGCAAATGAAGTAGAGCAGAGATCAGTAAAATGGGAGGGGTTAAGGGGGTAGAGTATTGAAGGCATAGGGATATTGTTCAAAGAAACCAGAGGTGGCTGTTGGAGAAGTAGGAGGAGAAGAATCCAAGGGATGAGAAATGGGGACTGGGGAAGGCGGTGAAGTATCAGAAAGAACATCTGGAGGGGAGGGGTTTGGAGAAGGAAACTGTTGTGACAGAAGGGATTTGTGTGAGCATTCAGGTCGGAGAGGTAGAGAGGATGTTGGAGGAATGGGGGTGGGGGGAACTTGAGGAGGAGGATAGATATTGGCAAATACTTTAAATGTAGAAAGAGTAATGAAAAGAGGGATTGGATGAGAGAGCAGAGTGTTCCCTTGGGTCATCTTTAGGAAGTTTTAGAGGTCTTCAAGTTTCTGGAGAGGCTTTAGGTGTAGAGGACTGAGAAACAAAGGTTCTCTTGTGAGAAGGAGAAGAGGGGATAGATATCTGAGGAGCAGAAGAAGAGGAGAGTGTAGGAGAGTATGTGGTAGGAGAGGGTGGGGTGGAATGTTTAGGTTGCTTGGTGTGACAAATAAAGTGAGGAGGAGGGGGTAGGTATATGGAAGTGGTAAGATTGGAGCATCTGGATTTAGATTGGAAAAATACATATATACACACACACACACACACATACACACTTATTGTCTATGTGTATGTACGTGTGTTATTAAAAAAAACTGTATTCAATATTGTTAAAAATTTCATTCAGAAAATAAGGGGATGCAATATAATCTTAGAGTGTGTCAGTGAAGAGAGGTCGGTCTATTTAGTAAGCCTATTAAAGTTAAAGCAGACTCACACCCCATCCGATCATTATAAAAAAACTAATGATTTCAAGGAAAACTCTTCAAACTCTACTATAAATAAGCAAAAAAATGTTTTCCTTTACATTCTGTCTTCATTTTCAAATCTTCCTTTTACTCAAGTCTTCAATCTTTACTTTTATGTCACAAACTTCAACTGTAGTTTTGGGTATATGAAATAGTGTCTACAATTAATGACCATTCTGATACATCTTTCTGAATGGAAATTAACTAATTGTAAAAGGAAACGAATACCATCCAGTAACATATGAGAACTCTTCCCATTTGAATTCAGGACTTTCTGCAGTTTATACTGTTATGCTAATCAATCTCCTACAGTCCTATTCGCTACAATAGTGGAAGGATAAAAACTGGTGGGCTTTTTTTTCTGCCTTTTTTGTTATGAATGAAACAAATACACTGTTCATCCATACACATGTTATGTAAGCCCCATTCACAGTATTACCCCCGTTCACTCGACCCTGATTATACGCTTTATAGATGCTCCACTCCCTAAGCCAATCAACAGATGTGTTTTCCAGACTTTGTCTCCTTGTGAATGAAACAGTGAGTGTGAAGTTGTAATTCTGGTAATGTATGGCATATCAAATCCAGCCGAACCCCCAATCTCTTCCTTTCCCACATTTCCCTCCACTTAATATACAATCTATACTTTCAGATACTCATCACATGCCCCTAGACACAATACTACACATGATAGCAATTTATATTGTTTCATATGATAAAACCAAGATTTTATAGATCTTTTTATTTGCAGCATTCAGGGACTAGCGTGTCTCTAGCGTGTGTCACGTATAGTGTCTATTTTCATATATAAATATAGTGAGGATAAGTTTACTGGGGTGCTTGCTTGCTGGAGACGCGCGAGTTTTTGTGGCTCTAAACTGACCTTATATGTAGCCCTGATATATATGTCAATTTTTTTTGATGGATTAAATTTAATTCTAATGGCTTATAACTCTAAATTTGTCCTTACTGAAACAAAATATGCAGGCGTTTAAATTTGCAGCTTGTGAGGAGAAACGAAGGAGAGTTTGTGGTTCTTTGGTGGGCTAAAACGATAAATCTTAAAGGACTAAACTCGAAAGATACCTAGTTTCTTAATTTGTTGTTTCTCTTTTAGACATGCTCAGCACCGCACCTCGTAGGATTACAAGAAACGAGTCAAAAAGTGGAAAAGAGAAACTTGAAACCCGAGTGTGAACGGAGTGCGAGGTACTACCTTGATGCTCCATATTGCACGGCACATCACACTCGCAATCTTACTGGGTAGGGTTTCTTAACATAACCACCGTACCTCGTAGATTCATCTGGATTATAGATTCTGTGACACGACCCATTTGATAGCCGGAGCTTTGCGGTTCCTAGGGAGTCCAGCAGCAGGGCTGGTTGAGTTGTTGCTGGACTTGTGGAGCACCTGCTGGGGATCTCCTTAGTGTTTCTCTATTGGAGCTAACACCCATCAGATTGCCGTCGATCTTCCAACAAGTCTCCCTCCATCCATGGAGTGGACGCCGGAGAGATTGATGTCGCTTCTGATTGGGTGTGTCTAAGCGGGTTACAGATCTGGTGGGTCGGCCGCACATGAGTTTCTAGCGGTGTCTTCGAGTCTT